CTTTGTCGTCCCTTATGAGAGTCAGCATGGTGTCATCCATCTGGGTGTAGATTTCTTGTAGGTGTTTCGTCACCACATCCAACTGGTCCTCATCCTCCAGGTACGTTTCAACGCAGAGCACGTGCCTAGGTGAGTTCAGAAATGACGTCAGCCACCTGGACTGTTTCCTGCCCTTCAAGATGTCCAAGAGGTGGTTGTCGGCCCCCCTTCTCTTCACGATGAAGTCCACCAGCTTGCGGTTGTCCCGGTCCCGAGTGGCCCTCATCCTGTCGGGGAGAATCCTCTTGCAGGGCCTCTTCCCGCCCAGGGGGGTCTCGTCCTCAGAGTCCTCCAGGTCGGAATAGTTCACCTTTGGAAAGTCGGTCTCCAGCGGGCCCTCTTGGATGGCTTTCCTGAGCGGGTAGCTGACGTCGGCGGCATAATAGTCCAGGAAAGAGCCCACGAAGGAACCCCGGCCGATGGCTCGTGTGTAGTGGGAGATGAGGGAGAAACACCAGTTGACCCCTTGCTCGTGCACTCTCCGGGCTCTCTGCAGGAGTCTGTCTTTCTCTCTGCAATCCAGGTGCTTCAGTCTTCGAAGAGGCACTCGGAGGCCGCTCCTCTCCCGGCGCAGGTCTGCCTCAATCAAGAGCACCCGTGCGGTCTTCTGCGACGCGCTGACACTCTGCACCACGGCCGGCCAGAATGGGTGGTCTTGAAATTGAAACCACACCATCGTTCCTCTTTCAATTGGAGGCGGCTCCTGTGCCAGAGCCATGCGGGCACGTTGTCCCCCTCGTTTGCCGCCAGCCATTTTAACCGTGAGGATGGGGTTGCTGGCCGTCGAGTCAGCAGGAGGTCGGCGTTCTTGCAGTCCTTCCGACGAAACCAGCACTTGCAGCTTCCTTCTTCGCTCTGCCAGACGGAGGGAGTAACGCGGCCTCACAGCAGGGGTCCCGGAGGGGGCAGGGGACCCGGAGGGGACAGGAGACTNGCGGTCAGCCTGGCTCCCAGGTGGAGAGTAGCTGGACTGTGAATGCAGTGAGGTAGCTGCCGTCCACGTGGGGCAGATGGCTCTGGGGAGAGGACCCAGTCTCCTTCAGTTTTGAAGACAGCCGGAAGCCTGTCTGTTTCAGGAAATCATTTGGCCATTGAGGGAGAGCTACTGTGGTAGATGGAATTTCAGGGAAACAGAGTCAAGAGTGTCTTGCCCAAGGCTGACAAAGGGTTAGTGCACACGGGGATTTCATTCATTCACGTGGACTTCGTGCAGGTGACGCGTTCACTTTCTGCTTCCCTTTTAGAATCGTTTTTGGAAGGAGTATGGGAATGTGGCGAAAAGATAGAAGAAAAAGGGACTGTCGCTGTAGGGGCACAGGAGGAGACCTAGTCAGCTATCCTCGTGGTTGCTGGTTTCTTTCTCCTTTTCTTTAAGATGTTTCTGTCAAACAGTTCTTTCTCACGGTAGTGCACGGGCGGCCCTCGCAGGTACTTCTCTTCTGCCCCCTGGTCATCCAGCCCATCAAGTGCTGCGATGGAACAAATGAGTGCTTCTGGCAGGAGAACTTCCAGGACAAAATTTACTTTGTCGTCCCTTATGAGAGTCAGCATGGTGTCGTCCATCTGGGTGTAGATTTCTTGTAG